CTATGACTAAGGATTCCCGAGGGAATCCGAAACGTCAGGCAAATAAAACTCTCGTTCCAATGATCACATCTTCTTCTCCAGAAACGACAATATTTGAATGGGTATGACAAGTTATTAAACACACTCATGAGTACAACTCTTTAGACCAAAAGTTACCGAAGTTAAATATTAAAGGTGCAATTTCTTACGATGTGAATGCAATAAATAGTATCTTATATATTTTTTCATTAAATACATTTAAGTCTATGAGTGCAATGAAAACCACTGGAAAAGTTAATACAACTTTCAAAATGCTTTTGTTCGGGAAGCAGTACATTCCAAAGCCCGCATTCGGAGGTAACTGGATTTTTGCGGATACTGCCAGATGCTAATCCATATTGCAACCCAACTTAAATAATCCCCTAAAAGTAAATTTCATTTTAAATGAATTTCGGTGAACGCCCACTGTATGATTTTTTTTTGCTAACGGATGTATACGCTTTAGACTAAACAAAATCTGATGAGCTTATAACATAGCGCACACCTCCAAAACACGTTCCATTTATCTGTGCTTACCATATTCTTAGTCCGAGGTTTTCTTCACTTGTCCGTGTAACGCAGAAGAGTATGTTTTTATTTCTTTCGGAAATCATTTTAATGAGTTAATTAGTTTGTCCGGCTAAATTTTTCTAGCTCATCGAATCCTTTCCCTTTAAGCTACCATGAGTAGCAGCTTTCCAGTTTTTCCTTAAAACGAGGTACTCACGATTCGCTTGGATTCTTACCAAAATTTAAATACTTATCTAGTTCTTAGTCAAATAAGGCGGTAATTACCTCCTTTGCAAATGAAAATAATTCTAGGCTTCTTAAAATTTGAAAACCTTGCCACGTTTTTACGCGGGTGAAGGATGGGCAATTTTCTCTACGACAGACTCCATAAAAGCAATTAGCATAGTATGGTTGCAGTTTTCTTTACGGTAAATACTTAATTACGTTCTGGGACCACAAACTGACCGGGAATTCATAAACAAGCACAGACAGCAGTACCATTGTTTCATATGTAGGTGAATAAAAGCGTTTCAATTCATTCTTTGCTGGTTTATTAAGTGGGCTTAGCCTCGAAGAGAGAGTAAGGTCCCCTGAAAACTATTTGCACTGACTAGTTCCTTTGGCGTGCGTTATATACTTCCTAATTCAATACATTATTCAACTATTCAACTTTAGTGTTTTGTTAAAAGCATACAGAGGCCTTGATTTGTTTTCCTGTAGTCAGTGTAGTAGTGTCCATTATAAACCCAGAGACTACTGAACATGCTGTTTTTTAAAAACCGATTCTAAAATTCAGAATCTTGGAAGCCTCAGCAGACATTTCTAAGAAACTCTACTATGATGGCAAACTGTAGGGGTTCTTTTCTAACAAAGTGGCCTGCACAGTAATTAGAAGTTGAATTCCATCTGTCTCTTACATCTAATTAAAGGCTTAATTTAAATTGTTTAACCTATCATTTTATTGGGTTTTTTTCCTTACTGCGCTGCAACGGAACAATTCTGTAAATTGTAGGAGAATAGCTCGGGAACGTATGCCTGCCAAAAACGGGTAATAATATCCTGAAGCTTGATGCATAAGTAACTTGTAATTAAGCATAATTCATCCACTAGTTAGATATAATTACAAATTTCCGGAAAACCTGATGCAGTAAAGTAGACCTCTCAGCTCCGCATTGACTCGGCGAGCAAAGCTTAAAGGTGATAACTTTGACTTCGCACGATATTTTTATCGATTATATTTTTCCTGCAACATAAGAGGCGTAAATCGCAGTATCTTTCATATAGGATACTACTGGAACCAATTCTTAACTTTAGGACCAATTAGGTTTTTCACTTCAAGGAATAAAAAGGAGTTATGTTAAGCGAGACTTCTATGTTGGCGCAAACTTGAGCACTGCTCGTAAAGTTGCTTTCCTGTTACTTACTCAAATCTCGTAAGCATATGAGTTCAGTACATAATTACGGTGAACTAGAAGACATTTCATGTTAAATCTCGCCAAAATTACGCCGTAAGTTTCATTGAAACCCTGTAACAAAGTGCCTAACATACTAATCTGGTAGACTTTTTGATGAGAATGATAGGTGTTACTGCAGCACATATAAAATGCTCAAGAGTCCCAGTTATGGCCAAGAGCTACATTGTTTTGCACTAGATGTGGCAATTAATCCAGAAGATTAAAAAGTTTGGTACAGGATTATTTTAAGTGATGATTCAAACTTCATGTTGTATATTGTACTGATCGCAATATTAATGTACACACACATTTGTGTGTCATTTGAAAATAATTAAAAAGCTGCCGTATGAAGATGATATCAACATTTATTAAATAACATTAGTCATAATTATTGCAATATGTTGCTTTTGAAAACCTCATTGGTCCTAGTGACGGTTCCTAGGTGGAGATGAAGTTTATTTTTTGAGTTCGACAGACATGTGCGAGTTCCAAACTTGTTAACCGAATATTTTATGTCGTTAGTTCTTGGACCACTGTTTTTAATTAATTTTGCCCTTCAGTGGTTTAACAAAATTCTATGCACGTTTGCTTTTCCGCAAAAATTTTCATATTGCATGAAAAATTATTATGAGGAACTATTTTTTAAGTCCGCAGCTAATAATAGACCAAAATAATGCGCAACTTAAATTATTCGAACAATGAGAGACGCTAGTGTCTTGTAAATTAATCAATCCTTGAGCAAATAGATCTTGAGTCCCAAGCTGACGGTCGTTAATCGAATTCAAAAAATAGACAGAAACTTTAAATTTCAAATATTCACAGTTTTTGCGCCCTCAACCATATACAATAAACTTCGTAAAAATATGAATACGATTAAATTTTAAAATGAATTTTCCTCACTCAGTCAGTTACCACGCGCTGAATATCACATAAAATGAAATAAAGAAATAGTATATATTTTGGTATAAGCATTTGGTTTCCCTTTAAATTTGCGATTGTAAATGTGTTGCAAAAGTCGGATGGACCATGAAAAAGTAGGTGTCACATTATGTTCTAGTCCAATTACGGCAGAAACGGCAGTCAATACAACTGCAGGGTCTTCCTTGCTAACATTTACTTTAACTGGGAGATGACTATAAATATTCGTAGATATTAACTTTAATGTGTGTTACATTTTCCTTTAATTCTTTTAAGATAGACAGCACACGCTTTCGGTTTCTTGTTCGCTTCTTCTTGCGGGCTTTGCCAGTCTTGTCAATTCGCCTTGCTAAAATGGGTCGATAGCGAAATATTATTCTATATATTCTTCGGAAAAATTGTTAGATGACCTGCGAAAATCGTCTGTTTCGTCTTATATGTTCTAAATTATAGAAAAAAATAAGAAGTTCAACATTTGTCCCTAAATTCGCATATCTAATGAAACAGAGCTCAACCGCTCCCGAATATTCCTGCTTAAAGCTGGAAGCAAGTAAGCTAAACTTCAAAGCCATTCCGTTCAAATAACAAGACTCTAGGTTTGTGCAACAATAATTTTTGTCTCGCACCTTATGATATAAGGACAGACACAAGAATTATTTTAACTAACATTTTCAACGAAGTATATTGGCAAATTACGAATATTCCTGAATTAGTTATACGAATACGAAAACTTAGTTGGCTTGATATGGAATAGTTAGACTATATGCAAACGCTTTGTGAGCAAGTCTGCCTCCAGTCAATTACAAGACAGTCCAGGACTTACAGCTCCATGACTAGATAATAGGAATCATCGTCCTCAAATACATCCAGGAGTTGAACAATGTTTGGATGATGAAGCCTACGAGATTGCAAAAACGACGATGAACTTACCTTCGCAGGACTGATATTTCATTTTTGAGCGACTCTTCACGTGATTTGTATTCCAATTTATACCCTTCTTCATCGTTTGCTTTCTGTGAGTTTTCTCTTTTACGGATACACTTTATTGCTCTGAACTCGCCAGGATTCAGTTTGTCTTCCGCCAACCTGACTTCGGAAAATGCTCCACTATATTATTAAAATCGGGAAATTATAAACGTACGTTCCAAGTAATTCCTTAAGTTCATACCTATCAATTGGATTACCATCGGCCATAGGAAAGCTCTTAGGGCCTGCAGTCGAATTGGGTGGCGGCGTACTTGAAGACATATAATGATATGTCTGATATAATAAAACAAATATATATTGATGACCAATATTTTTTTGCATGAAAGCAGGAAGTGTCTATAATACATTATGATAACTTTTATTTTCTCTCTTTTCTGCACCGTTACAAATTAAGCCACATTATCAATACGAATAAAGTGATAATGTAACGTCCGAGCGGGGAAAGCCAAACGGATTATTGGGAGCCGAAATCGGA